CACAAAGGATACGACCTACTTAACGGGCAATGAAGGTCAGAATTTTTGAACGGTTTTCTCTGAAAATGCTTCGTTGCAAAGCTAGAGCGCTTCCGCCATTGTACGGCTAATGCTAGTCGGCCATTTTTATCGCTGCGGAAAAAGCGCATGCGCTTATATTTTCAACAGGCTCGGGTCGGCTTGCTCTGTGTATCTTGAAGGCACGAGAAGTCACAACGAAGGGCGTGTATCGACTCCCGCATGCTATCTACTACTGTAGCTAGCCCGTGTCAGACTCTCTGCGAGCTACTAGCGGGAGACCACGAGTAAACGCATACTAATAGCAGCCCAGCCCATCAATTAGCGGTACCCCGCATCCCCAGTTCGCCGAGGGTTTGCACTTTAGTGCTTTTCATTGGGTCTGTCTGTCTGTGTGTCTGTTACTCTCAATCTCACTTCTCGGCTGTTTGTTCGTCTCACAAAGGATACGACCTACTTAACGGGCAATGAAGGTCAGAAAATATGTGCGGTTTTCTCTGAAACTGCTCCGTTGCAAAGCTAGAGCGCGAAAAAGCCAATATGCAAATACACAATGGCTTACCACGGTCTGATCGATCCGCGTGCTCTGCGCACCTCGGAGGCACCAGAAGATGCAACGCATGGCGTATATCGCCTCTCGCATGCTATCTAGTAGTGTAGTTAGCCCGCGTTAGACTCTGCGCGAGCTGTCTAGAGACCACGAGTAACAGCTAAAATTAAACCCAGCCCATGAATTAGTGGTACGGCGCATCGCGTATATACGCGTCACAATGCGCGGTTCCCCAATGCACCGAGGGTTTGCACTTCAGTGCTTTCATTAACCCTCGGCGCGCATGCACAGCGAGGGTTACTGTCGTTTGTGTCATTCTGTCAGTTAGCGTAAAGCGCCAATTATCGCGCGGTACCAATTATCGTGACAACACCCTGCCGCGCGTAAAAGCGGTAGGCATGCGCAGTGTGTCACATTTACTGAGATGTACGGAGCATACGCACTGACCACGTCATCTTCCTCGCCGACAAACCGTGAGCTAGGGCTATAATTCTTGCTGGTGAGCTGGAAAACGTACACCAAAACTTTAAAATTACACTCCTCTCTATTGCAGATGATCAGTTGGAAGGAATGCCTAAAAGGAAGCGAGGTTTTTGTCGCAGGAGAAGGAGCGAGTCTGCTCCCGCTGTCCTCCTTACGTCAAGAAGGCAAAGTAAGCGTAAACAATGGGCAGATGAAGAGATGGCTGCGGCAATGAGTGCAGTTGGGAATGGCATGGCGATTAAGCGGGCAGCAGAGGAGCACGGGGTGCCGCCTAGCACGCTACGGGATCGGATTAGTGGAAGAGTTGTGCATGGTACTAAACCAGGGCCAAGACCTTACCTCAGTCTTGATGAAGAGAAAGAACTTGGCAGTTTTCTTAAATCTTGTGCCAATATAGGGTACGGGAAGACCAGGAGAGACGTAATGCACATTGTTCAGTCGGCAGTTGCTGATAAAGGCTTGTTGAAGGGGACTAGGCTTTCAACGGGATGGTGGAAAAGATTTCTACAGCGCCAGCCTGACCTTTCTTTGCGACGCGGTGACTCCACCGCCCATGTCCGTATGGATGCCGTCAATGCCGACACAATGAAGCAGTACTTTGCTTTGCTTAACGATGTCATGCATGACCGAGTTTGACCTTCACTCAAAACCCTCTCAGATTTACAATGTTGATGAGAGTGGCATTCCGTTCGACCCTCGTGCTCCCAACATTGTGACCACTAGGGGAACCAAAAAGGTCCGTTATCGACAATCTGGTAGGAAGGGGCAAGTAACTATTGTGGGATGTGCTAGTGCATCTGGGCATGCGCTCCCACCCATGGTCATCTTTGATGCAAAACGACTAAATGCTGCATGGACCATGGGTGAATTCCCAGGGACGAAGTATGGCCTCAGCGACAACGGGTGGATTAACTCTGATTTGTTTGAGGCATGGTTGTGTGAGCACTTTGTTCCCCATGCGGTTTCAGCCAGGCCTTTGCTGCTGATACTGGACGGGCACAGCACTCATTATCAGCCCAAGCTGTTGCGGCTAGCCAAGGAACACGATATCATCATGCTATGTCTCCCCCACACACACACATGAGGCACAACCCCTAGAGTGTGGTGTTTTTGGGCCACTAAAGTCTCACTGGTCAAATGTTTGTCACTCATACTTGCAGCAAAACCCCGGGAGAGTCATTACCCGTTTTCAGTTCAGTGCTCTCTTCTCTCAGGCATGGAGTGCCGCAGTAACACCAGCGAATATTACTGCTGGCTTTCGCACATGCGGAATCTATCCGTTTAACGCTACTGCCATCAATGTTTCTCATGGAATGCCCTCGTCCGATTTCACTCCTCCTGGAGAAGGCACTAATGATACCAGTCCTGAGAGTGAATCAGAGGACTTCACAGCTGAGCAGGAGCAACGGTTTAGAAAACGCCACGAAGAAGGCTTTGATGTGTTTACAGATAGAGAATATGTCAGGTGGCTTAGAATCAATCATCCTCAATCTCTACCAATAATCGATGATGACTTATCTCTCAGCGACTACTTTTCTTCTGTGCCTGTTGCTGTGAAGCTTCCAGTTGGTTCACCTACCACGACAAATCTGAGTCCTTCTGGTGCCGGTGCCGCAGATACGAGTCTCTCTTGCACCACTCTCTCTCCCAGTGCCGCAGACCCTCCCACCACTCTCCCTCCCAGTGCCGCACACCCTCCCACCACTCTCCCTCCCAGTGCCGCAGACCCTCCCAGTGCCGCAACCACTCTCACTCCCAATGCCGCAGACCCTCCCACCACTCTCCCTCCCAGTGCCGCAGACTCTCCCAGTGCCACAACCACTCTCACTCCCAATGCCGCAGACCCTCCCACCACTCTCCCTCCCAGTGCCGCAGACTCTCCCAGTGCCACACCACTCTCACTCCAATGCCGCAGACCCTCCCACCACTCTCCCTCCCAGTGCCGCCGACCCTCCCACCACTCTCATCCCAGTGCCGCAACCCTCCCACCACTCTCACTTCCCAGTGCACACCACCACTCGCTCTCCCAGTGCCGCAGACCAAGTCTCTCCCAGTGTGTGCAAAACCAAGGCGTCATCTCATCTGGGCTGTCAAGTGAGCGCTCTATTTCCAAGTACCGCTGACACTTCCCCCTAAGCCTACACATCCAAAGAGGGTTCCTCAGGCCCGTTTCTTACTGACTAGTGCCGACGCTTTGGCACAAGTGGAAGAAAAGAGCGAAAAAAGAAGCTAGCACTTGAGGAAAAGGAAAGGAAGAAAACCGAAGGGAGAGAAAAAGCGGCACAAAGGGAGGAGGAACAGAACCGGAAAGCGAGGAACGACAAAGAAGGCAGAAACAAAAGCAAACAAAGTGAAGGAGCAGCAGAAAAGAGGAAGAGAAAGCGAAAGGAGCGGGGAAGAGAAGGTTTCGAATGAAGCCACTGACATACCTATGCCTCCAAAGAAAAGAGTGTGTAAGCTCTCCCAAATGGAAAGTGATGACCCTGAAATCAACACTGATATGTGCTGTGTTTGTAACATTTTATACTCAGAAGATCGCACAGGAAAAGAGTTTTTTACCTTGCGCGCTGGACGCACTACCGCTACAGTTACGTACGGAGTTTCCACTCGGAAACTGGATACGAAGGTACTACAGTACGTAAACTCGCAGGGCACGACGTTAGGAATAAGTACGTAACTTTAACGCAGCGTAGTGGACGCCGTTCCTTAAGGGTGCGATAATTGGCGATCTACGCTAAGTGAGAACTCACTTCCCCAGTCGTAGATCGCGTCCAAAACAGGTTTACATACCCAGCGGCCGACGGAGGTCACAAAATATGTGGGATTTTCTCTGAAACTGCTTCGTTGCAGAGCTAGAGCGTTTTCCTGTTCGTACGGTACGGCAAGGGCGGCCATTTTAACAACGCGCATGTGTGTATGCACCAAAACGCATGCGACTCTGAGGCGGCAGGCGGCCAAATCGGCGCACGCCGATTGGGACCACGTGGCCAACTGCCATTTTGTTGTCCCTCATTTCTCTGTCAGACTAGACCGAGAAGACGGTTAAGTTCAGTAGGTTAGGCTTGGGACGAAAGAATAATCTCATCTATGAACCTAAATTAAGTACAACAATTCTACCAGACCTGGTGATACCATTGCCCCACCCATTACTTTACATAATTGTGCGTTTGTGTTCACTATTATCACTGCGCCGAGGGTTTGCACTTCAGTGCCTTTCATTATACCATAAAGAGGCCATACGATTTCCTCATACTTTAGCTGTATGTCAACTCATTTGCATAAACAACAGTGGGTATATGGCAGTTATAATTATGATAGTAGGAAATTGGCAGTGTGTAATGCAATTGGGGGGCTTTTACACTCTTTGTGTGCTGCTGTTTCTTTACCAGAAGGGAGTGTTTTCAGGCCAGAAACTGCTCTTGTATATACACCGTCTGAAAACTAGCGAAAGCTGCTTCCCGAAGCGTACGCTCTAGTGGACTGGAACAGTATTCGGTGACTTTCAGCTTTCTTGCTACTGCAACAGGCTGCATTCTAGGGAGCGCTGGGTATAGCGGGAGAGAAAGCGAGCCAGAGGGGCAGCTACAAAACTTGCGCATGGGGTCTAGCAGCGATAAAGAAGAGCTTTGACATACCTGTAATGTTGAACTCTCGAGAAATGCCCGTGGCTTTTGCAAAACCGCCAAGCTGGACTAAACTAAAGCGCTTATTGCAGCCGTCTCTCTCCCGATTGGTTGCTAGCTCTCTCGAGGGTGTGCGTTAAAAAGAGGGCGTTTTGAAAGCTTTTGCGCAATCTCATTGGTCAGAGCCTTATCGTCATACAAACACGTTATGATGGCTTTGCTTGTGGTTTGCAGGTTGCACACTCGTGTATAACCAATAAACCAATCGCCGCCATCATATAACTTATACATATACAATTGACTTGGTGTCTCTATTGTAGCCATACCTGCTGGTAGCTCTGCATACTCCATCACTGAGTCCGCTAGACTTGTGTCTCCAATACGGTCCAGCCAGTATATCATCTTTCTGATTTTCATTGGATCTGTACTCTGCACATAGTACTCTACTGCACTGTCAACATCTCTCTTATCACGAGGGATGGAGAGACGGACGCAGAGGCCACAGAGGTCACTGGTGTTCTCAAAGACCTTCCTGAGTGTGGCTTCACTTGGAGGGAGTGCTGCGAGGAAAGACAATGACATCATCACTAACGAAAATGAATACTTAGCTAAAGCGATGACATCATACAAAACATAGCCCAAGGTCTCACCCCAGGGACCAGCTAGCCTATCAGACAGCACTATCATTCACTGTAGATGTAAGGAGAGCTAACTACAGGCACAGTTATAATCTCACCGTCAACATTATTTCGTACGTGGAGGCGCGCGGCTCGCGGCACCTGTCTTACGTTTCTTCCACATCCAGACTTGGTCCCCGCCTACAGTAGCCATCGATCTCTGGGCGCCAACACGACTGCTCGATGTGAGTTACGAGAAGTAACGAAGAGGGAACGCGGCGTGTTTTGCGGGCACAAAAACCGCCCAGAACAGAGGAAGGGCGAAGCTAAATGATGCCTTATTTGGAGAAATTTCTCTCGTGATCCTCAACTTTATTGCGCAGGCGTACAAAAACGAACTGACTCTATATACCTACCTACCTACCTACCTATAATTAATTATAGCGCAATCATCAACATCTTACCACGTCATAAATGCCACTGTTGATGTTTGAGACCATTTCTCTATTAAGTCGGGCATGGTATTGATTACTCCTCTAGTTGCAGCGATAATTATTCCACCACTCCAACAATATTGCAGACCCCTCCCCTATTTTCAACGATTTTGAAGAATCCTCCAAACAAAGGACACCTCTCTAAACGACACTTAGCTTAGTACATTAGTGTACTCTATCACTTCCCACATCAAATTTATAGGAGATCTCCAAGAACATGCGGTACACAATAATTATGAATAATTAGTGTCAACAACAAACAATCTGTATGCGTACAAGAAACACCAACTATAAGTTATCAGCTTGAAATTCACTAAATTCAACCAGGTGGCCAGGCAGCCTCTGTTCTGCCTAACTCTGTACATTGAACATAACTGCAGAGTGTGCAATTAATCAGTCATGTGTTGAAAACTAGAATAAACGTCTAGCGCACGGCAGAGGATTATGCACGTGTGTAGAGGAATCAGCTCGCGTGCATCAGTTACTTCAGTTCAGCTGCTAACTGCCACTGTTTGTTAGCCAGTTTCAAGTCTCCTGCTGACCTGGAGATGATGAGGAGAGGGGGAGAGAGGAGAGAGAGAAAGAGGAAGAAGAGAGAGAGGAAGAGAGCCGAGACAGAGATGTGAAGAACAAACTTCAGTCACAAGTAGTTCACAAGTAACTGCGAATTAAATAAGTGTGGAATATAGGGGTGCCATAAAAGGACAGGAGACAAGACAGGGATGACCTAGTGCATTAGTACAATGGATGATGGTTACATCTTCAAACTAACATTTCTTGCTCGTGTAAATTTTTACTCCACCCAAGCCCTATTACAATTTATTTGTCTCCTTTCCTTTTTTACTGCATTCACATGCATGGTGTGCAATAAAAATGGGATATTTTTAGGCATAAGCCCATAAGAAAAGAGCATTACATCAGTGTACCAAGTTTCATTGTGAGAGGAACTAATATCAGCAAGTTACAGGCACTGACACCATTTTAAAATCTTTTTTGCCTGAGGTTATTTGTTGTTGTTTACTCTCATTATGGTATATACATCAGTTTACCAAGCTTCATTGTTAGAGGAAAAACCGTACGCAAGTGAGAGGCACAAACACTATATACAAGTTTTAATTGCCTGAGGCTGTTTGTTGTTGTTTACAAACTTGTAATTTAAGTTTCGGTCAACTCCTATCATGGCATATCATTGTACCAAGTTTAATTGTTAGAGGACCGACCATAAGCAAATTAGAGGCACAAACACTATTTACAAGTTTTTATTCCTTAGGCTGTTTGCTGTTGTTGACTAGATTGTAATTACAGTTTCAATGAACTCTCATCATGTGTTGGTTTTGCCTTTGTTTACATGTTTAGCATACACACTTCACATGGGTTTGAAGTGTGGGGAAGCACATTTGGAAAATAGGTACAAAAAGCAAAGCATTGCCATTACCTCAGCTACAAACACACTTTATATCTTAACTGTATGCACACTCGACACTTAGAAGGTACAAAGGTCAAGCTCTGCCCACCAACCTGAGGTGATTAAGAACATCCTTTATCTTCCTGAAATAGATCTCGTTCAACGTCTGTCTCATCTTGTTCTCCATGTCCTGGGAAAATGAGAGGGGGTGTGGTCACTGCCAACCACATCATGTGACTGTCACATGACCTACCTTCACCATTCTCCCGATGTCGGCAATGTGGGGGCTGGCATCTGAGACGGCGTGGTCGCTCTCCGCCTGCCGAGTGACGGATCCTACGAGATTATGCTCCCCGAGTCAGCCTTGATCTTCTGGAGCCACAGCATTACCGTCGACATCAGCTTGTAGTGGGCGTTACGACCCTGAGCCTTTTCCCTGTAACAGAGGAGATGTCTAGGTGTCCTATAGGACGTCCTACAAGACATACCTGGACCTCCACCACGTGGATTGAGTCCCAGCACCCCTTGATCTTCTCTGTGTCACCGGCCTTCTTGATGAGAAAGACACCAGCGAAGCCGTGGTCCAAGTCCCACAAGTGGACTGAGCACACGACGCTCTCAAAATACCTGGGGAAACAGAGAGGGAGGAAGAGCTACAGTGAGACACTCTGAAAAGGACAAGTAAATTAAAAATCCTGCGAATTTAAAAAAAGAGGCATATAGGGATGGTATAAAAAGAAAGGGAGACAAGATAGGGATTGGATACATGAAGCATGGTTATTGAACAGATTTGAGTACGCTGACACCCCCAACCCCATCACACCATCCCTATATTGTTGCCTGGTGTGCTACTCTTATAGGGGCTAAAGGTTACTAAAAGCAAGCATTCTTTCACTGTGTCCTTGTTGCTTTTAGTAACATTTATACTGCCACATTCCCTTTAATTAAACTCCACTTGGACTCTATAAGGGTGTTGGTTACTCAGTAAGTGAATTGTAAGTTCTGAGTATTGTAATGGTGAATGTTTAATACTTCACCTAGGCAACAATATAGGGATGGTGTGATGGGGTTTGGGGTGTCAGCGTACTCAAATCTGTTCAATAACCATGCTTCATGTATCCAATCCCTATCTTGTCTCACTTTCTTTTTATATCATCCCTATATGCCTCTTTTTTTAAATCACAGGATTTTAAATTTACTTGTCTCCACTCATTTTTATATACTACTACGTATTATCTCTGTGGAAGGGGGCAAGCCCCTATAAAAATTAATAATAGATAAAAATTTCCTGTTGTCGTGATGGAAATGATATGCATACCATGCATGTTTCATCTCCATGTGTGCTGCCGCTAGCAAGTTGGAGGAGTGAAAAAGTAATTTTAAAGAAAAGTGCCTGAGGCTATATATTAATTTTGTTGTTGTGGTCATATGGAAACGATGTTATATACACACATGCGTACCAAGTTTAACCTCCATGCGTGCTATAGTTAGCAAGTTTTAGGAGTGAAGAAGTAATTGAAGAAAAGTGCCTGAGGTTATTTGTTGTTGTGGTCGTCATGGAAACGATGTTACACACATGCGTACCAAGTTCCATCTCCATGCGTGCTACAGTTAGCAAGTTTTAGGAGTGAAGAAGTGATTTTAAATAAAAGTGCCTCAGGCTATTAGTTGTTGTGGTCGTCATGGAAACGATGTACTACACATGCGTACCAAGTTCCATCTCCATGCGTGCTACAGTTAGCAAGTTTTAGGAGTGAAGAAGTAATTTTAAACAAAAGTGCCTCAGGCTATTTGTTGTTGTGGTTGTCATGGAAACGATGTAATACACTTGCGTACCAAGTTTCACCTTCATGCGTGCTACAGTTAGCAAATTTTGAGGAGTGAAGAAGTAATTTTAAAGAAAAGTGCTTGAGGCTATTTGTTGTTGTGGTCGTCATGGAAACGATGTAATACACATGCGCACCAAGTTTCACCTCCATGTGTGCGAGTTTGAGGAGTGAGGAAGTAATTTAAAGAAAATTGCCTGAGGCCTTTTCGAACAATATGCGGTCGTCACGGAAACATGTAATCATGATGGAAATGATATAATAGGCATAAGTATCAAGTTTCATCTCCATGTGTGGTACCGTTAGCGAGTTTGAGGAGTGAAGAAGTAAATTTAAAGTAAAGTGCCTGAGGCTAATTTGTGTTGTGGTTGTCATGGAAACAGTTTAATACATATGTGTATCAAGTTTCACCTCCATACATGCTACAGTTAGCAAGTTTGAGGAGTGAAGAAGTAATTATAAAGATAATCGTCTGAGGTTTCTTCAAACAGTATGCGGTCGTCATGGAAACATGTAGTTGTCATGGAAATGATATAATAGGCATATGTACCAAGTTTCATCTCTGTGTCCTACCATTAAGTAGTTTGAGACGTTAAGAAGTAAATTTAAAGAAAAGTGCCTGAGGCTATTTGTTGTTGTTTATAAATGTGTATTGTTGTGTTTTTGATGTTGGGTAATGAATATACATTATGTATACAAAGTTTCGTTCACATAGCTCTTACAATTAATGTGAATTACACTAACACAATGTATGTCCATTATAATGCATTGCCTATTATAATGTATTGCCTGGGGCACATTTTTAGTTGTTTACAGTAAACAACATTGTTTACAAACAAAAAAGTATGACGTTGCACATGTGGTTATCGATACACACATTCCTAAAAATTTCATGGCTTTATCTCTTTCGGTTTTTGAGTTACGCTGGTCGAAGAAGAAGAAGAAGAAGATGATGATGAACAAAACTCCCTATCATATAGCCCCATACATCTATGATGCTAGGTACCATGTCAATCCCTATCACTAAGTACAGTAGTACTTAGTATACAAGTAAATAAAAAATCCTGCGGATTAAAAAAAAGAGTGCATATAGGGATCGTATAAAAAGAAAGGGAGACAAGATAGGGATTGTGTTTGTGGAAGCACAGAGATGCTAGCGAGGAGTTAGGACTCCCACAGGTCATTACAACAGCCCTATATCATAGATGTATGGGGCTATGATAGGGAAAGTTTTCAATCTTCTTCGTAGGGTGGGAGTGGGAGTGATGAGAGAGTCTGAGAATATTGCTATAGGTAATGAAGTACTTACTAATTGCCTTTGATAGATTTGTCATGCTACATTTCCATGGAGTGCGCATTAGGTGGAAGTGTAATCAGCTGACCATAACATTGGATATACATGTTTATACATGTTTATACATGGAAACATGGAAACATGGAAAAATTGTGTAACGCAAGAAAACAAAATTCAAGTATGCAAGGTTAGCTGATATATTCACGAGGAAGTAGTAAAGCACCGATACGACGATATAGGGCTGTTGTAATGACCTGTGGGAGTCATAACTCCTCGCTAGCATCTCTGTGCTTCCACAAACACAATCCCTATCTTGTCTCCCTTTCTTTTTATACGATCCCTATATGCACTCTTTTTTTAATCCGCAGGATTTTTTATATACTAAGTACTACCGTACTTAGTGATAGGGATTGACATGGTACCTAGCATCATAGATGCATGGGGCTATGATAGGGAGTTTTGTTCATCATCTTCTTCTTTTCTACTTCTTCTTCAACCAGCATAACTCAAACACTGAAAGAGATAAAGCCATGAAATTTTGTAGGAATGTACATATCGATAACCACATGTGCAACGTCATACTTTTTTGTTTGTAAACAATGTTGTTTACTGTAAACAACAACAAAAGTGCCCCAGGCAATACATTATAATGGCATACTAAATGTGTCAGTGTAACTCACAATTGGTAAGAGTTACGTGAGCGAAAGTTTGTATACACAATGTATTCAATAGCCAACATCAAAATCACAACAATACATGTTTGTAAATAACAAGAAATATCCTCAGGCACTTTTCTTTAAAATAACTTCTTCACTTCTCAAACTTTCCAATGGTAGCACGCATAGAGATCAAACTCGGTACGTATGCCTATTATATCATTTCCATGACGATTACATGTTTCCATGACGACCGCATATTGTTCAAAAATGCCTCAGGCAATTTTCTTTAAATTACTTCTTCACTCCTCAAACTTGCTAATTGTAGCACGCATGGAGGTGAAACTTGGTGCGCATGTGTATTACATCGTTTCCATGACAACTACAGCAACAAATAGCCTCAGGCACTTTTCTTTAAAATTACTTCTTCACTCCTCAAACTCGCTAACTGTACACGCATGGAGATGAACTTGGTGCGCATGTGTATTACATCATTCCATGACGACCACAACAACAAATAGCCTCAGGCACTTTTCTTTAAAATTACTTCTTCACTCCTCAAACTTGCTAACTATAGCACGCATGGAGGTGAAACTTGGTGCGCATGTGTATTACATCGTTTCCATGACAACCACAACAACAAATAGCCTCAGGCACTTTTCTTTAAAATTACTTCTTCACCCTCAAACATGCTAACTATAGCACGCATGGAGGTGAAACTTGGTGCGCTTGTATATTACATCGTTTCCATGACGACCACAACAACAAATAGCCTCAGGCACTTTTCTTTAAAATTACTTCTTCACTCCTCAAACTTGCTAACTATAGCAGGCATGGAGGTGAAACTTGGTGCGCATGTATATTACATCGTTTCCATGACGACCACAACAACAAATAGCCTCAGGCACTTTTCTTTAAAATTACTTCTTCACTCCTCAAACTTGCTAACTATAGCAGGCATGGAGGTGAAACTTGGTGCGCATGTGTATTACATCGTTTCCAAGACGACCACAACAACAAATAGCCTCAGGCACTTTTCTTTATAATTACTTCTTCACTCCTCAAACTTGCTAACGGCAGCACACATGGATGGTATGCATTTCATTTCCATGACGACAACAGGCATTTTTTCTCTATTATTAATTTTTATAGGGGCTTGCCCCCTTCCACAGAGATAATACGTACGTAGTAGTATATAAAAATGAGTGGAGACAAGTAAATTCAAAAATCCTGCGGATTAAAAAAAGAGTGCATATAGGGATCGTATAAAAAGAAAGGGAGACAAGATAGGGATTGTGTTTGTGGAAACACAGAGATGCTAGCGCGGAGTTAGGACTCCCACAGGTCATTACAACAGCCCTATATCGTCGTATCGGTGCTTTACTACTTCCTCGTGAATATATCTGCATACGTACTTGAATTTTGTTTTCTTGCGTTACACAATTTTCCAATGTTCCCACGTATATACATGTATATCCAATGTTATGGTCAGCTGATTACACTTCCACCTAAATGCGCACTCCATGGAAATGTAGCATGACAAATCTATCAAACGGTAATTAGTAAGTACTTCATTACCTATAGCAATATTCTACAGACTCTCCCATCACTCCCACTCCCACCCTATGAATAAGATTGAAAACGTTCCCTATCATAGCCCCATACATCTATGATGCTAGGTACTCCCACCTACGACGATATAGGGCTGTTGTAATGACCTGTGGGAGTCCTAACTCGGCGCTAGCATCTCTGTGTTTCCACAAACACAATCCCTATCTTGTCTCCCTTTCTTTTTATACGATCCCTATATGCACTCTTTTTTTAATCCGCAGGATTTTTAATTTACTTGTATACTAAGTACTACCGTATTTAGTGACCATCAAAAAAGTAAAGGACACCTCTCTATGAAGAACACATGGTTCTATGGTTCTACATATAGGTTAGATGCGGAGCCGAGGTGACTACGCGTGGTATATAGAGTGCCGAGGGTTCCCGAGCTGTCGGCGTCCCGAGCGCAGCGAGGGCGCTACTAGGGAGCCCGAGGCACTCTACCACGCGTAGTTACCGTGGTGACGCGTCTAACCGGTTTAGATCCATTCAAACTGTTTTGCGAAGATATGGCCACGCCAGGCGAGCTGTTCAGCGACGAGATACTATCTTGTTTAGACCAGGAAGACTCCGAGAAGGAACTCATGCTCGCCGCGAGCCAATCCTCGAACATACGTGCGCGTAGAGTGGGCGGGGCCCTTTTCCGCGAAGCGCGGCGGACGACGAGCTAGGGAGTGCTGTAGCTTTCGCCTACCGTTTCTGGCTCGCCGCTGGTAGCTGAAACCTCGCTCGAGTCTCTTACCTATCGCGTCTTCACGCTCGCTCCCCAATAGATCCCGTCGTCCGGGGCAGCGGGATCTACGGAAAATAGATCCCGCGTTTGGACCAATGAAATTGCGCGATTTCAAATCACCGGGATCTAATAATACATTAGAGTGTAAGTACCTTACATGCATTAATGTTGCAACCCCTACCAACGAGGTTTCAACAATCTTGCATTTTTTGCATGAACGCGAGTTGACGAAATGACAAACCAACCGTCCACAATACTTTGACTATTGCTGGAATATTGAATATGTAATTCTATCTCACTGTTCCTATCCTTATATTATCCAATAATATTGCAGTCCCCTCCCCGAGTTTCAACAATTTTGCTTTTTTTTGCAAGCACGTGATCGAGTTAATGAAATTACAAACCAACCACTCCAATTCCTTTGACCATTGTTGGAGTGTGGAATAGTAACACTTATCTTGCTGTAACCATCCCTATCTCGCCTGCCCTCCCGCACTTCCCACCCCCTCCCAGCACTCACGATTCTCTGTAAGTGTCAAAGCCTGGTTGGCCTCAATCTCCAGTCTCCGCAGTCGGTAGCTGGGGACAGCTCCGTCAGACAGGGGAGGGTCATATCTGTTACTCCACGGGGACCTGTGTTTTCCTTCCAACATACATACATACATAATATATACACAATGTCGTATCAGTACATGTAAACAGTAGACAGAGCAACATCGTCCGAAACCTTAAACGCTGCGTTTTATAGCACTTTGATCGATAAGTAGGCTACTCATAGTAGCTGCAAATAATGTCAAAGAGAGAGAGAGGTCAAGGGTGAGGTGTACATGGAAGGTGATCAGGAGTGATATGACGGCGGTTTCTGGCGAACCTCGTCAGCCAGAGCTGAGAGGTCGCAGTCTCCGAGTGTCTCGATGAGTGTCTCCCACGTCACTAACTCCTGTCCCCTCCCCTGCAGCCACTCATGGAGAATACGCTGAACAATCTTCTCTGGATTTCCAAGGTACTGCAGCTCGTAGCTGTCCATTCGTCTCCCGTCTGTGTCGTTGAGGAGAAGGATTCCAAATGTGGAGTAGTTGGCACCAACTCTCTGTGGTATCTTGAGACGCAGCAACTGAGGCAGAGTGGGACGACCTGAGACAATATAAAAAACTTCTTCACACCCCAATGACAATAATTAGCAACTAACTGGTAGAGTCTGAAAGAAGTGATGGAGGAGTGGCAGTGGAAGCAGTACTCTCAGAATCTGTAATAGAGAGAGAGGGAGAGAATAGTTAATTATGCAGATGACATGGTCATAAAATTAATATCTAATTTTAGAGGCATAGCCTGCACATATATATTATTCTGGAAGGTTGCGCATATGATCACGTGTTTTTCGCCACAAGTAGCACTGTTGAGCGGCCAGGATTTCGTATTTGTGAGGGCAGCGCTCGAGCAAACTTCTGGTCGTTTCTGGTGCAGATACTTTTTTGAGCTGGCAATCAGCACTCGTACATTGCGCGCGTTGTAGGCAGAGGGGGCTGACCGATGGAGAGCGATAGACGCCTGAAGAAGGTATGTCCGCAGTGTGACAACCACAGTACATGCTAGACGGGGGGTTTGCGTATGTGGGCATTTCTTTCCGTCAAAAAAAAGCGCAGTGTATTGCCAAAAAGGAAGCGATGAAACGTCGAAGAACTTTAGAGACTGAACAAGAGAAATTTGCGAGAACAGAGCAAGACAGGCTACGTAAACAAAGCACAAGGGCAGCTGAAACATACGATCAAATTTCAGCGCGTCGAAGAAGTGACAGACTGCATAAAGAAACCACGAGAGCCTCTGAAACAATTGAGCAGACGTTGCACAGGCTAGAGAGAAGAAAAATCCACATGTCATGATATTGAGTGGTTTCTCTACACAAATGATTTCTCTAGAACTCCCCAGGATTTCCAACACACATCATGGTAGCCATAGGAGCACCACTGATCTGCCTTCTATGCTCATCTCCCTCTGCATCATCTAGGTTTTCATCTGATATGTCAGTATTTTGAATACTCTGTTGTACACTGGAACCACAAACAGGTATATACCTTGTCCAGAGCAACATAGTGATACTGCAAGATAAGGCCCACAAAAATCTCACACTCAGCACTACAGATGCCAGGGGTCACTGAAAACATGGGATGATTGCTAGATAAAACACTGATTTTGACACTGAGCATATCAACAATTGCCTGCAGAGTTATATGGTCACCCCAGGCATCTTACACATTTTTGCCATCTAAGTTCAGTTTGCAAATTTGGATCTGCTACGCTGGTTATGTACTCATCTTCAGCAATAGGCTGCTCTGTGTCTGCCCACTCATGCATTAGCTCTAACAGCCCTTCTTCCCAGGTCTAACTTTGTTAATCAGTATCTCCGACTTTTCATGATACTTCTGATACTAGGGCCATTCATTCGTGATGGTGATCCTGGAACCAAATTGTTGTATGATTTGTCAGATTTCCGCGTGATCATGGTTGTGTTGTGTGCTTGTGATTTGATGAGATGATGATGGTCAGGCTTGCCCTACAATGCCAGTCTTGGTTTTCTAAACATGTTCATTGGCCTAGAGTCACTCACTCTGATTGTGACAGTATTGCTAGACTAAGCTATAGTGCATACACATAGCCCAACCCACATGCGTGGTACCACGCCGCGGAGGGTTTTGCACTTTAGTGCTTTTCATTATATTATGAGTGCATGGACACAACATTATGTATGGATAACCTGTGTCTTCTGACTCACAAGTGGATATGGTGGTGGTATATACTCTTTTGTGACCAGTCACCAGAACCATGTCACTGTCACTACTACCACAATGTGCTACACAGTAATTCACAGTACGAAACTTTGTGTAAAACTTACCCATTTTTGATGGAGGTGCAGAGAGATATTGGTAAGAAGGAGTAGTTGAGGATGAGGATGAAAACCAACTTAGCACTTTCTGTGTCAATCTCCACAGTCTGCTAGTCTCAGCTGCAATTAAATAAAAAGGATGAGTAAATGCGTATAATCAACTGAGGCAGAGTGGGACGACCTGAGACAATATAAAAAAAACTTCCTCACGCCTCAATGACAACAATTAGCAACTAACTGGTAGAGTCTGAAAGAAATGGTGGAGGAGTGGCAGTGGAAGTGTGAAATTGTATAATCAATTGAGGCAGAGTTGGAGCACCTGAGACAATATAACAGACCCTGTCACTGCCACACACTTTAATAACTCATAACACCACTCACTGGTAAGGGGAGGAGGGAGTGTTGGAGGTGGTGAAGAAGTGGAGGAAAGTTGGGTGTTGGGAGGATTAGGTGTATGACTCTCTGCAGCTGAAAAAGAGAGAGAGAAGAGGGAAAGCAGCTACACAACTTAGCAGGACTCACCAGAAAAGAAGTCTACATTTGGAGTGGCTGTGTGTATGTCATCTGAGCTACTGGTGAGAGAGTGTTCAATGGAGGAGGCCAGGGGAGAGAGACCAATGGACTTGAGAGAGTCCGTCAGAGTTCTCCAGGTCACCGGCTTCTTCCCTTTCCCCCTTCAGCCACCTTTTGAAGATCTCGGCGACAGTCTCGGCTGACTTGAGTTGGCAGTTGGTCACTATCTGGTCCACCAGGGAGCCATCGTCGTCATCCAGCAGATCTAGACCCAAGTCCTCAAACTTTGACCCCACCTTCTCCCTCAAGTCAATGGTGGCGCCCGAGATTGTGGGGAACGAATACAACTCCTTCAGCTTTGGTCTCTCATCTGGACAGAGGTAAACGTTGAAATGTGTCAGAGCTATTCGGATACAGCAGACGAGCCTGAAGACTTGCTGACAATAAACATATCTGCAATACCATGCAGGTTTGAGTGCATTTCAAACCTTCATACTTAGAGCAAAGGGCAAAGAAGTGAATAATTACAGCTTCAAGACACACAAACAGTCAGAGCTCACCCATTCTGGAAGACGGAGAGGACGGGGAGGTAGGGTCAGTGAAAGGGAGACAAGATAGGGATGTGATACATGAAGCATGGGTAAGAGAAGAAAGAGGGCAGATTACTTGAGAGAGTGTTCAATGCAGGAGGCCAGGGAAGAGAGACCAATGGACTTGAGAGAGTCCGTCAGAGTTCTCCAGGTCACCGGCTTCTTCCCTTCCCCCCTCAACCAACGCCTCAAGAGCTCAGTGGTGATCAGTGTAGTGTTCCTATTGCATTCGAATGTGATGGTTGGCATGATGGACCCATCCTTGTCTTGCAGTAACAGAATCCCCAACATCTCATAGTTCACTCCAACTTTTGTGATGATGTTGATGGGTTCTCCCGAGTGTGTGGGGAAACTGAGGAGCTCTGGAAGTGTCGGCCTTTCATCTGCAGTTGGAAAGAGTTGTAGTCAGAGAAGACTGAGGAGGGGGGAGAGGAAGAAAGGAAGGAGGGAGAGAAGAGATGTATACAGAGGAAGACTCACTCATTCTGGACGGAGGAGAGGAGAGGTGTGTGGAGGAAGGAGAAGATGAGCTGTCTGCAGAGGTGGCTGGGTTGGTTGGAGGAGCCGAGGTCTGTACTGGGCCACTGGGTAACTGGGACGCTGTAGGAAATGGGGGAGAGGAAGAAATGAAAGGGGGAGAGAAGATATGTACTCTCGCCCAAATCTAAATACTGTTCGCATTTCAAAAACTTAGAGCAAAGGCACGAGAAGTGAAGGATTATAGCCCCGGTTTTCACAAACAGTCAGAGCTAACCCATTCTGGAAGACGGAGAGGACGGGGAGGGAGGGTCAGTGATAGCGTACGGAGCCAATAATCGAAACGTGTCTACCTGTAGCTAGCCAGAATGGCTCCCTTGCTAGAGAACGGCACAGCGTACTAAATGAAAGGGGCGTGGTCACACGTGAATCTCGAACATATTATTTCTCCTGTCTTGTTAAAATTAAGTGCCTTTCGTGAAGCAAGACAGATCTACCTGTCGCCGTTACATATATTGCCAGAACGGTGAGCAGGTGAGCAGAACGGTCTTTACCTTACGCTTTCGGCTCGTCTGTCGGGATCACCTTGGTTGTTAACCCTCGGCGCGCATGCGCAGCGAGGGTTACGGGTCTGTCTGTCTGTGTGTCTGTTACTCTTCATCTTCTTTCGTCTCACAAAGGATACCACCTACCGAACGGGCAATGAAGGTCAGAAATTTCGAACGGTTTTCTCTGAAAACGCTCCGTTGCAAAGCTAGAGCGCTTCCACCATTGTACGGCTAATAGTCGGCCATTTTGGAACCGGAAAATGCGCATGCGCTTATATTTAGCACAGGACCGGGTCTGCTTGCTCTGTGTATTTTGAAGGCACAAGAAGTCACAACGAAGGGCGTGTATCGACTTTCGCATGCTAATCTACTACTGTAGCTAGCTCGTGTCAGACTCTCTGCGAGCTATATACTAGCGGGAGACCGCGAGTAACGCATACTAATATACCGCGCATGCGCAGTTCGCCGAGGGTTTGCATTTCAGTGCCCATTTACTTCTTCACCACAATGGGAAGGGGCTGCCATACAGCTTATATTATTATGCCACATACTACAGGTTGTAGGTGTCCCATCTCTGAATTGACTCCTCTGCTGATAATGGCTCTCAGTGAGGGACTGCAACACTCTAGGTCCAGGGCCACTCTGTACAGTGATACCAGGCCTACCCCCTGACAGCACACTTGGTACATGCTCTGGGTGTTGGGAGGAGTCATGAAATACACACGGTGGGTCCTCATGCACTTGATCTCCATATCCCCCACTCACTGTTGTGGTTATGCTCCTTTAAGGTTCACTCGCAGTCTGTTGGGAGATTGGTCCGTCTAAAGTCACAGTACGTGGATGATTGGCAGAGAACATTGTCAGGGTATCGAGGCCAGTTGCTCGGGGAGTTTTGACCGCAGGAATACTGGGCATCGTCGGGTAGGTTGCCGGCATAGCCCCCCTGTAACTGTCCTGGGAGCGAGGTCTCTCATCACTGCCATCCCTCGTCTGTCCTCCTTCACCACGCCCAACCATGCATTCGTTCCTGGGACACGGTCCCCTGGCTATTGCCAAGGTGGCTCTCTGGCGAAGTGATCCACGGACTTTCACAGCAGAACACTCAGGTTTCTCCCCCATCGGTTCGTGGTTCCCTAGCAGCAGTCGTCCATTGCACATGGGTTCTGTATCCCCCATCCGTCTCTTCTGACCTCTGTGGCTGACCCCGAGTCCGCCCAGTCATCGGCCCAGGCTGCTTATGGTTGTCGTCTGGTGGGTACGAATTCTGCACCCCCATCCATGTCGTTGTCTTTCCTGATTCGGCTGACTCCTAGCCAGCCTTGGCTTGCTGCTCCTGCACCGAGGCGTTCTCCCGGTCCAGAACCTTGTTCTCCCGCACCAGCCGGCTGTTCTCCGCTGTCAAACTATCCACCAGGAACTGCGCAGTGTCCAGGTCGCTTCTCAGAGTTCTCAACTACTGCCGCAAGTGTTCCTTGTCTTCAGCGTCAAGGGCGGCAGCCCTGGACTTCAGAAGATGTTGCTCCATTTATTGAACCCAGGAAGCCAAGTAACTGCACAACGTGTAGGGTGAAGTCCCATCTGTTTTACGACAAGAAGGAGATAACGATGGGGAACATGAGTCAAAAGCTGTCAGGAGGTCGAGAAATACAGCACATATTTCCCTGCCACCTTCAATGTGCTTGTCCCAGTCATCAATCACAGACAGTAATGCAGTGGTAGTAGATCGTCCAGCGAGAAAGCCCAATTTGAGAGTCAGAAATTTGAGAAGATTCAATATTAGGAATTCAGATTTGCTTATAATTGGAAGCAAAGAAATTGGTCTATAATTACTGGGAGAAGCACTCCCAGGAATAGGAACACGCCCAGGAATAGGAACAATGTTGGAGACCTTCCAAAAAGCTGGGAAGCAACCAGTCAAGCCAGAAAGAAGAGTGCATTTACACCCTACAATGGGCTCTTTGAGTTCATCAGAATGCCCTTTGGTGTTTTGCAATGCGCTGGCAACGTTTCAACAGCTCATGCAGAATGTTCTCTCGCGTCTGGAGTACACGAGCTCTTTCATCTATCTAGATGACATGCTAGTCGCCTCCAAGATGTTCGAGGATCATCTGACTCATCTTTGTGAAGTGTTCAGTTGACTCTGCTCATCCAACCTACATCTCAAGCCGAAGAAGTCATTCAAGACAAGGTGCCATTCTTAGGGCATGTGGTTCAGCACAAGGTATCGAGTCGATCCAGCCAAGACAGAGAGGATCAAGAACTATCCCACACCTACAGATCTGACGGAAGTATGGAGATTCCTGGGACTTTATATATAGACGCTTTGTGCGCTTGCCTCGCAATCCTGAAAACTCCCAAGCAGTCTGGAAAGTTAGCCGGGCTCTGAGATGGACATCGCCATCAAGCACAATGGCGGCAAAAAGAACACCAATGCTGACGTTCTATATATCAGGATCGCCGCCTACGGAGTCGAACTGGGCAAGTTAACGCAAGTAAACAGCAGTCTTACCACACCAACTCTCCCTGACTTGGGTGAAGTCCGCAGACTACAACAAGAGGACAGTCACTGTTCTGACTATTTGCTTACTTGACAAATGGAGTTCTGCCGAATGATAAACTCAGCTATCGCAAGGTCGTTTTGGAGACCAAGCAGGTCCAAGTTGTTGACAATTTTGTACCACGAGAACCCTGCATTCCCAGACCAATCCTGCGTTGTCGTCCCTGAGCCTCTGCGCCATGCCCTGCTGAAGGAGTCACACTGTGGTCGTTTTGCTGGCCATCTCTCGGAGAAAAAAGTGTATGACCGTCTCAGGCGCCATGTCTGGAGGAAGGGAAGTGCACAAGTTCTGCAGAGCCTGTCTGGAATGTGCATCATGGAAGGGTGGTCGCAGGACATGTTGTCTGCTTCTACAACCCATCAGGTTTAGTCGTGTTGCCATGGATATCTTCCAGTTGCCAATTACTGCCAGTGGATATCGATACGTTGGGGTGTTTATGGACTACTTGACAAAATGGCCTGAAGCGTTTGCCATCCTGGATCAAAACACTGAAGCAGTAGCCAAGCAAATCGTCTGCAGACACAGTATTCCGGAGAAACTGTTATCCGATCATGGGACGAATTTCCCGTCCAGTGTGATCCAAACATTTGTCAGTTGTTCAACATCAAGAGAATCAACATATCGGGTTATTATCCTCAGACAGATGATCCCGAAGTCATGCACTGTGTCTGATCGATATTAGGATACCCACTTGCTGTATATACTTGTTGTTGTTCGCCTTTTTAGAGTGAGTGCACAAGCTTCGACCAGAGAGTCACTGTTTTTCCTTGTGTATGGTAGGGGTGCTCGACTCCCAACCGAGAGAGTTCTGAGCCACATAAGAAGTCCCTATAATAATGGTAGACGACGACTACAAGAGTGATCTACTCTGCAACCTATCACTTGCCTGAAAGTTATCTGCTGAAACCGTGCAACGTGCTCAAAACCGTCAGAAATACTACGATCGTTCAGCTAATGAAGTGAAGTTGAAGGTTGGGGATCGTGTGATGGTGTACATGCCATCTTAACTACAAGGAGATGAGCATAAGTTGAGACGCCCATAATTATTACGGACCTTATCGAGTCTTGAATGTGACTGAAACTAATGCTTTGGTTCGCCTAATAGGCTCCCCGAATGACAACCCAATCTTCATCAACCTCAATCAGATTCGGTTGTGTCATCTGGAACAGGGAATCACCACCTGGACTGGTGAGAAGAAGAAAAGATGGAGAACGAAAAAGAAGCTTGTTCCTACAGAGTCAGCGGAGTCCACTGCTGCTATATAGCTACCCCTAGCTAGCTACCACAAGTCAACACAAGGACCCACAGATTCATTCCAAGGCCAAACTATAACTGCTCATTTAGTTTTGTATTCACCTGAGAGTCTAAGACGACCTCTCGGCTCAGAGGGGGGTGATGTGTAAGGACTATTATCTTCGCTATATACTCCATTTACGCATTGTTATGTAATGTATCACGTGAGAGCTCCAGAGAGCGCGTGTGTTGTACCATTTTGGTGAGTGTGTGAATTAACCAGTGATTCTTGTATTCTCATTCATCCTGGTCTCCAGATTGTCTATGCCTAAAAGCTATTTTGAAAGCTACCTATTTGCGCTAGCAGACTGCTAAGTGTTACAAGACAATAGACATACACCCCTCCCCAGTCAGTGCAAAGTGTAAACCATCTGCTGAAGGAGTGTGCACGTGCGCATATGCTTCACATGAATTAACTAAATTTTGGAAAGTCTTCTCCAATGCAAGTTAGCACAAGCCAAAACTGACTTTGAAACTGATTGTCACCAGTCTTCCCTGGTCTTCTCTTAGTATCCAAAATTTTCTGCCTTCATCTCTACACCTGGACGACATTATTGCTGCCTCTGATTGTGAGAAAGCTGCATTGTTCAATGAGTTCTTTTACTCAATTTTTACAAAAAGCTCGTTTCAGTTACCACCGCTCACTGATTGGTCTTAGCCTCCATCTCTCCCCTGCGAAATTACCTTTAGCGAACTGGATGTTTTTCGTGCTCTTGACCCGTCCAAAGCTATGGGATGTGATGGAATTAGTCCTAAGCTACTTAACGTTTGTGCTCTGCCTCTCTACCAACCACTTCACCATCTTTTCTCCTTGACTCTATCCCAGTGTTATTTTCCAATGGAATGGCGTACTCACTTAAGACCAATTTTTAAATCTGGTGATAAAACCTCAGTCAGGAATTACAGACCAATTTCTCAGTTACCGGTTGTCTCTAAGGTTCTAATCTACAATGGTATTGTGGACTTCGTTACATTCTCCATTAAAGTTCACCAATTTGGTTTCTTGTGTGGTCGCTCTACTCTACAACAGCTGCTTGTATCTTTTTTTTCAACTCTGTACCTCAAACAGATGTGGTGTATCTAGACATTAGGAAAGCTTTTGACTCTAGCTCACAGTGAGCTACTCTACAAGCTATGGAAACTGGCAAACTCTGGTCCTGGATGAGGGCATATCTGACCAATAGGGTCAGTATGTATCTGTTGGGAAATCTGTGTCAAACACTTTGCCCGTTATCTCTGGTGTACCTCAGGACAGTATTCTTGGTCCTCATTTATTTCTTGGTTTTATAAATGATCTTCCTTCTACATTCTCATTTTGTAAAATCCTACTCTTTGCTGATGATACCAAGTGTTTTATGCCAATACCTTCTCTGCAAGACTGCACACTTCTCCAGATGACCTTACAAGTCTCTCTGAGTGGTGCCACATATGGAATTTTTCTGCTAATGAAGAAAAATGCTCTGTTTTACACTTCACTACTGGCCACTTCCCTGTAATGTGCAACTACAGTATGAACAGCAAAGATCTTGGATTGATTGTATCAGCCAACTTATGGTGGCAACCGCATTATCATCTGATCACACCTAAAGCTTACAAAATGGTCTGCTTTGCAGAGTTTTTTCAAGTTCCATGTCCGTATTGGCTAAATGCTGCCTGTATACATCCCCTGTACGCTCTCAGTTGGTCTATTGTTCAGTCATTTGGCATCCACACTTGTTGATGAATATTAAGTGTCTGGAACTCGTTCAAAGAAAAGCAACAAAATTTGTCATGAAGGGTACTGCAATGGATAATAAAAATCGTCTGATGTACTTACATCTCTTACCGCTAATCATGGAGTTGAAAATTGCTGATATTCTCTTTCTCATCAAGTCCCTAACGTTCCCCTCCGAACACTTCAATAATATACGCACTCTTTTCAAGTTTTGTGACAATCCTACTCGCTCATCTTCTCATTTCAAGCTAAGACACTCCTTTTGCAAAAACCAGGCTGAGAGGAATTTTTACTTCAATCGCATTCCCCGCCTTTGGAATTCTCTACCATCATTTGACATTAATATCCCTATTGCTACCATCAAGTCTAGACTGTGAAACTTCTTTCATCTCACACTTTGATCCTGATAATGTATGCTCCTATCACTATGTATGTCCTATAAATGCTCTAAGCTTCCCATCTCAATGCATTTCACTAGTTTTATCTAAATGTTGTCATGTCCTATTCTGTGTATTTTATGGCTGCTGGCTTGATGCCTTCAGACCTTCAACACAGCTGTCACCACCTCCCGTATTCTGTCACACTTCTTTCTGGTACCACCTCCTACCTATGTTGTAAAGCTGAAATAATAATAAATAATAATGATAATAATTGATTGGCCATATCGTGTGCCATGCCACACAGTCTAACACCCGTCGATAGCGCCAGTTTCTCACTCTAACTCAGGCTTGGTGTGGCCATGTAACTGCTCCCACCACGTGTCACGGGCGCACTTCAGGCAGTATCCTTTACTACTCTCCCCAGTGCGCACACGTATGCTTCTACAAAAACAGGCAGTGTCCGACAAGTTATTATTTTTCCACATTAGCTATGTATCTTCGGGCGTCTACTCTGAACTGGGTCTCGGAGACAGGGTTAACAGTGGATAGGCCCAAGTTTTCATTGATATAAGAACACGACAACAGGTTATGTTATTGTTACTGAAGAATCAGCAACATAACCACTTTACCAACAGCGTAGTTGGAATGATGATAAAAACCTATACCCACACTTCTAATATTAGAAACCGGCCAGGTCATTGTAAATCAACCCTGGACACTGTTGCAGGGTCAATTTTTGGAACAACACAGACACTATAACAACATAAATTGTTTAATTATGTCCTAGTATCAGGCATGAAACTGAAACTGTATTTCGCAGATTTAAATTAACCACTACAAAGTCCTTTGATGAAGGGAGCGAGCACACAATGACTGATCTGCATAAAAACGTGGTGTAAAAGAGATTCACCTGCATGAATCGAACTCGCAGTAGCTAACCCGGTGACAGTGCGCTTGAACTGCTAGGCCAAAGCACGTGTAAGAGTTGAGTGGGAGGTTTCAAGCTCTTTATCGATGCATCACAAAATGCATGATCCACGCGTCAGTCTTGATATATTGACTACCATGATAATAGCTGGACTATATTATAGCCACACGTAAAATCGCACCATTAACGAAATTTTGCTAAATCGCCTCTGAGCCCTTCATGATCGTGTTTGGCCTCTCTACGCCCATTTTACCTGGGCCGAACACGCGCCTGACGGCCTTCGAGGTTGAATGGCGGTCCTCTGGCGTCAAGGCTTGCAGAGGCGATCCAGCATTATAACTGGGGGTTACTTGCGCATGCCCAGGTGAGGTAGGGCCTCAAAGAGGGGGCGCGGTTAGTGCATATACGATTATACTCGGGGCGGATGCTTCCCTGTTACGGATGTTACAGAGTAACAGCGCGTGGACTTTTGTGGCGCTGCTTGCCCTGCGCTAAACCTACATAATCATCTGGGGTGACAGCGTGATTTTCAGGTTAGTGTCAGTGGTCCGCTTCTTGGCGTCCTTGCTTTACGAAACAGGGGGTTGCAACCCCTCCCTGCATCCGCCCGTGCCGGTAGCGGTTTTGATCACATGGGGCTGGACCCCCTCGATCCTCTGTTCGCGTGCGCGCGGTTAGCGGAAGCACCATACCATCCCTCACAGTGTCTGCGCGGCGTGTGCTATATACTCGTATGTTTTCTAGTCACAAAGTCAGCAAGGAAGGGACCCAGAAGGTTAGTAACGGAGAAAGCTGGGTGGTTGACCAGATAAAGAGACAGTCATGGAAGGACCCGTGCCAACAGCGGTCCCAAAGTCCAGTGACGGAGAAATTTGCAGCGCATCTAAGCCACTGGAGAAGGAGCATGGGTTTCGGCTGAGAGGCGCGCTAGAGTGGGCTAAAAGGGAGTGGAGAATAGTTTGCGAACTGGCACTTTTGATAATAATGATCGTCGTTGTCTGGGGACTCCTTTCCCTGCCAGTTGTATTCTACTACACTACACCAGATGAGGTTTGTAATGCTATAATCACCAAGTCATGGCAGATATCCCGATGGCTCACATTTACTTTACTGGAGCTGTACATACCATTTCCTACATAACGTGGGTATATAGTTCTTGATTTGGGAGGATAGCATGTTTTTTAAACCTGTTATTCTCATAAGTATAAGAATCATTATTAAACAACCTTGATACCCAATGAGCCAATGCAGCACTTATTGAACTGTAACTTCAAAAAGGATATGTGGTCAGACACATAGAGTAAGTTGTGAATAGCACATGATGCACGCCCCCATGTTTATGCTAAAGAATCAGCGAATGACAGGACACACACCTACACACATCGAAACATAAAAGACAAATGCTTGCTGTGAGATATTACCTTATCGATATGAGCACAGAGCAACCGGTAGCTATAAAGTAGCTACTGGAGGTTATTAGTTATCAACCTATCACATACTACAAGACTAAAGAGCAAGGACACACTGTTACAGCCCTCCTGACCCCTAAAAATCTAGTGTAGTTTATAGAGCCGCCAATAAATTGCTATGTCGTTTACACATTGTCTGTGTTGCCAGTTCATTATCTGAACTAAAGTACAGCTATGTGACTCAGTATTTTGGTCTCAAGTTAACTCACATCATACACCTCACACCTTTCATTTCTATGTGAATGAATTGGACACAGTGTAAGTTACAACAAAGTCTAGATAATGCTAAAATCTTTCACTTTCACTCACTCTTTATTCTCAATGTGAGTTTGCATGACAAGTGGGTCTGTGTGACCATTGAGTATGTGTGACGTTGCTAGAATTTATGTGATTGAATCTGTATGGTAACAACCGGCTAGCTCTGTCACATGCGCAAACATGTGTGCCTAATATAGAGTACCGGGTATAAAGTAGCTTTTGCAAACTCAGAGGTTGGGTTTTTAAAAACATTACTGCAAAAATCTCCATGACGCAAGCCTGTTTTAAGAAATGCATGCCTAAACACTGCAACTTGCAAATTAACAGGAAGTGAACGGCACTCTTATGGGCCTTACCGTGTTCAGCAATGCCTCTGATGGAGGCACTAGGAACAACGCAAGTGGTCTGTGCTTTAACAAATATGGTGGAAGTCACTGTCTACTTTCTCTAAAAGCATTTGCTGCTTGCAACTCACCTGAAAGTGAAAGCACTGATCTCTATATCAGCAATAGTGTCATGGATCAAATATCAGCTGAAGCAGCAATTGGAAACTTGATATCTGCTCTTAACTTGTTAATCCAACCAAGTGATGAGTGTAGGAGTGCAGTTATTCCGTTCTTATGTCTGTACACATTTGGGGTATGTGGAACAAACAGTGATGACTACCGACCCACATCAGCTCAATGTACGGAGATTAGGGACATCATCTGTGAATCAGAATGGAGGAGAGCTGAAGATATGCTTGCTCAGTTTGAGCAGCCACCTCTACCTGACTGCTCTAGTCTCGGTCAAGAAGGACTGGAATGTGATGGTAAGTAATTGAAAGCCAGAGTATTACGCTCACTCTTTTAAACCAATTGCTCTCAGTGACAGTGAATAAGACTGAGTGCACAATCCAGTGTCATGATCATTTCTACTGTGAAGACAACTTCTGTAAGCCACGCTGTGATCGATTCAGGGAGTATTCAGATGAGTATGTGATGCTATCTGATGGACTTATGATCACATCTGGATCTCTTGGACTAGTTTGCACCATTGCAGTTCTGGTATTATTCTTTATCCGGCGTAAGACATTGTAAGTTGTACTTTAGTGCGTTTCAACTAGATTCGTTTGTGTACTTGCCTTTGTCTTAGGATGATGTTTCCAACCATTCTGGTTTTCTATTCAACCATCAGCCTTGTATTTGTTGGTGAGTTTGGGAGAAGGATACAGTAGGCTTACAAAAAAATCAAACTGTTCCATTCTATATCTACTAAAGGCCGTTGGGTGCTAATAGAATTGTAGTTTAATTCTACAAATTGCTACTTCTACTCTTCTGCAATTGTATCCACTTGGCACTAGCACTACTTTACAGTGCTATGTTACATAATTTTGTACATGATTGACTGGTCAGTACTGGGCCAACCTGCGAGCAGAGTAACACAGAATAATACAGAATGGGAGAGGGGTGTATCCTGTTAAAGTTCTTCACAAATGCGGGCTTAATCACTCTCAAGGCTACCACCATCAAGACTGCATGAGTATAGCTGCTAAGTAAGAAGACACACTGTTGAGCAGAGCATAGCTACTCGGCTCAACACAAACGCTTGTGGTCTAGTTACAAGGCTAGTTGGTGCATGTTCATGCGTTTGGTTGGTCATTGTTGTTGGGCATGATTCGTCAACTGAGCTGGTGGTCGTCTGGTCTCCACTGAGTAGTGCAGAACCTCTGCAGATTTACTGGGGTCAGTGCTGTATCATCAGGTTAAACCTTTCTCTCCATCTGTACCCCTGTAACTGGCTGTGCCAACCCTAGGCAAACTCAGCTGTCTCTCACTCCCTATTACACTCCACATGTTGTTGAGAACCACAGTAAAGGTTGACCTAAATGAAAGTGACACATCACTGATAGCATCACGTACTACGTAAAAATAACGTTTTACTAACAGAATTGAAAAATTAAAGTTAGACTGAAGAAATAGTACCACTTTGTATAGAGAATTGATATTCCCATTGAAAAATAAGATATTCCATTGTAGAATTGAAATTAAAATGGTTGGCCCCTATGGGCTTATGTATAATTGCCGAGCGCGTTAGCGTGAGGGAACTACTCCGGGTTGTTTTCTCGCGATATGCGTACGTACGTACGTGTCGTCACGCTTAAGAATGTCAAGTAGTCATGCTTAAGAATGTCACTCCCGTCATTCGTAGGAAGTCTAGCTTCCGCCGTGCGTGCAGATTCGTAGGGCTTCGCGCGCAGTCAGTAGAGCGCGCGCACGAGCGGCCTCAGTCGGAGTGTTTACGCATTGGCTGCAGGCGCGAGGCAAAATATGCGCGTGCGCATTCCTAGTATTGTATTATTGAACATTGCTGCTGTTGCGTTTTCAGTCAATGCTGCATTAAGTTCTAGCAAGCAAGCATTTGATTTTTCGCACATTTCACATGTATTAACATTACGGTATGTGCAGTACCTGACGGTACAAATAATGTATCCGCATTCAGACAACTAGGTAGGTTTACTTTGTTTGCCAATTATAATTATCTGTTCTCATTTTGCCTACCTCTGTGTAGGATCCCCTTTTGATACTGCACAATAGCTATGTGTGTGTCTAGCTACCACACAATGCACAGCACTATAGGAGGTGATACCACCGAAATTAGCGAAGATGTTATTTTCATCAAGACGTGGTAGTTTGCAGATGTGAGAGCTTGTATTTATGATGGAGGGGTGGTGCGCATTCTATGAGAGGTGTGGTGTTCTTCGACATAGAGGTGCTGTGGTTTGAGAGGTAGTGTGCGTTTTTGAAGGTAGTGTGCAAGGTGGTGGTTTTTGTGGAGAGGTTGTGTTTTTTACTGAGATGTGGCACTTTTTGCTGCGGGTACCTATGTGAATACATGCACAGTGCACCTAGCACTGTGCATGAAGCAAACAACACGAGGCAGTTATTATATCTACCAGCGGCACCACGCTGTGTAGCTCGCCATGAGAAGCATCGGTCATGCCTGGACCTGCTGAAAGTATTTAGTAGTAGGAGCGGCTGGAGAACATCCGCTATATAGTATATAGCTGCCTCGTGTTTGCTTATCTGTACGCACACTCAGCGCAGTGCGTGGTACCTGCACTTACTACCTCTCAGTAAAAAGTACCACCTCTCTGCAAAAAGCACCACCTTCAAAAACGCACTACCTCTCAAACCAACCACCTCTATCACAAAACATGCACAACCTGAGATTAATGCACACCACCCTTCCATCATAAGTACCACCTATCATGTCACAAAAACCACCACATCTTGATGAAAATAACCTCTTCCTGTCCAGTTGCAGGTTTTGGCGGTGAGAACCTCCAATACAACACACCCTCATTTCTGCCTTACCTTATGGTTTCGCACATCTGATGTAGGCATTCAAACGTCCCTTGCCGAGTGATTGATGGAGCTAGCCCGTACTAAAAGTGGAAATTTTTGGCAGCATAATCGTTCGTATATATACGGATAAAATGACAGTTTGTTATATTAATCGAGTATTCGGTAGCATTCAAGCATACAAAAGGGTGCCAAGCGGCATTGTGTGTATAAAGCTTAGCATGCTCATGGAAAACTAATGTGTCCTTTGTTAGTTATCTTCAGACAATAACTATGAACTAGCTACCAATGGACTTATTCACTCTCTGTTTAGGCAAGCTATAATGAATTATAGGCAATGACAAAAAGATTCCACTTTAACAGTAAGTACACATGTTTGTACTGATCTGTACATGTAACTCACCCTCATGCTTCACATGTGTCACCCTCTAGATTTAGAGCATCGATCTTGGCCAAGCTTCACATGTGTCTTTATATATATTTATGATAACATCAGAGTTTAGCTATACAACTGCAGTGCTTTCATTTTCCTTAAGACCACTTTTCGTTGTTTACTTTCAGACTACTAGCATATGTTGCACAGCAAAGAATGAGCCCTGCAAGAGCAAACACTTTGTTGTCAACAGATTTGTCGGATATTCCTAGGCAAATGACATTTTTTGTGCTCATGCAGGATTGTATAGGCTGATAGAGGCGGGGGGTGGTGGGGTCCTACATAAATACACAAAACCCTGCATAACTGTGAACTATTTCTACATTAGCTACCCCTTGCATTGCAGAGGTCATTGTTTTGGTGTCTTTCATGGGCCGGCCAGCACTCTTTTGCAGTTCCATTGACCTAGTTTACAGTCTTCAAAACTCAGCACCTTTCTGTAAACTTGGAGGTAAGGAAGTTATGTAGGAAATTTTTAAGACACTGGATTTCAATTCACAGGCATAGTTCAATCGTTCTTTTACCTTCAAGTGACTTTGTTGTGGCTGCTCAACATCTTTGCCCTGTACTGGAAAATACAGTTTCCATTTCATGCAAGATATTACGACACCACAAAACGAACGAAAGTATATACATATTGCTTGTGTAATCCTGGCCTTTGTGGTTCCAATATTTGCCCCAATAACAATCTCTGCCAGTGGTGGATTTACAATGACCAGGTTTCCCCCTATTGTTTGCCTTGGAAGAGATCCAGATGCAAACTTTTATACTATTGTGTTTCCAACTACAATACTCTATGCTGTTGGACTAACGGTGATGTTGCTGATTCTCTGGAGAATAAGAAGGGTACGTAGCTTATACATTGAGTCTATAATGGAATAACGTGTTGTGTGCAAAAGCATCATTATGTGCATTAAACACCATTTTTATTTGTGTGTAGGTTTTTCCTTAAGACCTAGAGGTTTTGTCTCATCAATTATATTATTTTGTTTTTCTTTAACAGCACATGAGCCGTCACCTCAAAATATCAGGGTCTGCACGACACATAATAATCCTCACTCCAGCAGAACGAAAAATTTTCATAGTTCTTCTCTACTATACTTTCTCTGTAGCACTACAGCTAACGACATTTTCACTGTCTACAAGGAATATCAATCATGATATCAATGCCATCTTCTCCTACTTCTCCTGCCAGCAATCAGGAGAAAATAGCTCCTGCACTCTCGACACAGCACAGAATCCATTTTGGGCACTTTTCGCACTTATTGTTCTCCTTCTCCTACCTTCCATTAACCTATTCTTTGCCATGAACCTAAGGGATTTCAGAGGACTATGTAAACCATGCCTTACACTTCTCAGGAGAGTTAAACCTAAGCAGAGCAGTGTGATCTCAAGTTCTGTCCCTGCATCAGGTCCAGCGTGATTATTAATTATACTTTGTTAATAGAGACAATGATTTTTACAGTTTGCTTCAGTATAGGGTATAATAGTGTAAAATTTTTATCGATTATGTTCAAAATGAAAGTGCAAACCCTCGGTGCACTGCGCATGCGCGATAGCGCTATATAATTGATGGGTGGGGCAAAGACTATGCGTTTATAGTAGGGCACGGAAAGTCTGACACGCATTTCTCGAATGCAGTCGTTTCATAAAAATCGCCTCTTTATTTTTCAGGTCCGCGTAGTTCTAAAGCCGCTGGTAGGCCGCAGCGTAGCCGAATAAGACTTATTCTTTTCTAACCTCCACTGAAGGAGAGTAGCCTATGGAGTAGTCACACAGCAAATAGTCCTTCCCCGTCTTACACGTGAAGTGCACAAAACAACTCGTGGGATGCTTCCCGTATTAATTGTGCTCGTAAACTGCTTGCTGTACTCATGAAATTGCAGAAAAAACTCGCTGGCATCTTAGCGTACCCATGAAATGGGGAAAACATGTAGACTGGTTGCCGTCTTCATAAAATTAATGGCAAAAAAAACTTGTGGGCTGCTTGCCTACCAAGTAATGAGGAAAATACACTTAGGCTTGATGTATTAGGGCATGCACCTGTGAAATGGGCAAAAAAACTTGTAGACTTTGCCATACTCACGAAATGAGTTATAGGTACCCGAGAAATTGGGAAAAATTCGTAGATTGCTCGCCGCGTTAAAAAATTTGTAGGCTGTTTCCAATGGCAAAAAACGCGAAGGCTATTTGGCGCTCAATGCTATCTGCAAAATGCAGTGAAGCTATATACAAACATTGTCGAAGAGAGAGAAAGAGGTCAAGGGTGTGATGTACACGAAATCAGGAGTGAGAGGACGGCAGTTTCTGGTGAACCTCGTCAGCCAGAGCTGAGAGGTCGCAGTCTCTGAGTGTCTTGATAAGTGTCTCCCACGTCACTGGCTCCACCCCCTCCCCTCTAGCCACTCCTAGAGAATCCACAGAACTATCTTCTCTGGTTTCTTGTTGGACAGTTCCTCGAGGCTGTCGACTCGACTCCCGAAGGATTCCAAATGCGGAGTAGTTGGCACCAACTCTCTGCGGTATCTTGAGACGCAGCAACTGAGGCAGAGTTGGAGGACCTGAGACAATATAACACACACTGTCACTACCACACACTTTAATAACTCATGACACCACTCACTGGTAAGGGGAGGAGGGAGTGCAGGAGGTGGCGAAGAAGTGAATGAAAGTTTTGTGTGGGAGTCTCTGAGGCTGAAAAAGAGAGAGAAGAGGGAAAACTGATGTACAACTTAACATGAAGCAGGACTCACCAGAAGTAGAGGAGGGGAGAGAAGAGGTGGAGAACGGGGCGAGAGGGTCAGTGATATAGGACAAAGGGATACTAACTAAAAGGCATAGAGTTGAGAGAGAAGTTGAAGCTGAGTCGGTGACTGTGGAAAAGAGGAGAAGACACTATTATCGGTTTTCACACTGGCAATTAACAGAGTGCACACAAGACACACACACACAATCCGAAGTCTCACCTGGAGCATTTTTAATCCAAGCCACACCCCCTGAGCAGGTGTAAGGCCTTCTCGAATGTTCTTCCCCGTCATTGTGCAGATGAGGTTGGAGTGGGCTCCATTTAGAGTGGCTGTGTGCGCGTCGTCTGGCCGGGCTGCAGGGGAACTGGAAGGCTACAGAGGCTCGCGAATTCTTGAAGCGGAAAGCACTCGCTGCACTATCCACTGCATCCATGAGCATGTCACGGATTTCTGTACAGATGCTGGGCAGATCGGCCTGCGATGCAGTCAGGTACACAGCGAAATGAGTGACTGCATGAACGAACGTGATTTTATATGGCTTCTTTGGATGCTGCAACCGCACGGCATTGCAGAAGAGGCAAGCTGGAACTTTAACTTTCTTTTTTTTCTCGATGGTGTAAGCCGTGGTCCACCCATACTTGGAGCGCATGCAGGTATGGGTGGAGCAGAACACACCTTTAGCGATGCGGGACATGTGGAAGTGGAGAAAGAGAGGGGACACGTGCTCACTGGGGGCAGGCACATATCGCTCCATATCATTCTCTTCCACCGTCTGGAGCATGGCAGGCATTATGAACACTCCCTCTCGTTCAGAGCAGCTACAATGTAAAGCTTCTCGAACAGCTTCAGAACATCGCCTGCCTCAAACAGACGCCTCACGAAGCAACCACGGAACTCCTCTCCCTTCAGCATCTCGCTGCTCAGCACCCTTTCCTTCCACAGTCAACATTCGCTCGCAGCCAGCCCTGCAATCGCACCTCCCCCCACCCGGAAGCTATGCTGGACGATTCGATTTATGCTGTCCCATGGCATCTGCGGGTCGACAAACGACGCACCTGGGAGGACCGACGGCACGTACATCCACACGCTCATCTGGTTGAAGAAAACCTGTTGATCCATCTTCAGCCTCCCAGCGATGGCCTGGAATTCCTCCATGCTCACTACCTTCTTTCTCTGCTCTTCCGCGTACTTGCGTCGTTCAGCAACACGAGGAACACTATCGGGGTATCCACACCCAGGGCCCCGCTCAAGTCCGCCACTTTCTCGCGGGGCATTTGTCGTCATTGTCGTCGGGATTCTCGGCGTTGACGGCAAAGATGATGTCGTCGCCATTCTTGACCACGTGTTCCTCCAGAGCCGGTAGAAACAGGCTGGCCAGCCTCTCGTTCTTCTGCTCTAGGGATTCGTCGCACTCGTGCATCAGATCCCTGTGATTGCCGATCACCATGAACCCCGGTGTGCATGTCCTCGCTGCCGGCCACGGGCTTGCACATCATTGTGTGGATAAACTGGACCACCATATGCTCGTTTGTGAGCAGTGAGGGGCATTGCTCCGTAAACCACTTTCCTTCATCGTTGGTGAAGGCATTGGTGCACAGAGCATCCAGACGCTCGTTGAAATTGATGAAGACCAGGACGAGGGACACGTTGTGACTGAAGGCTGTAATGACCTCGTGGAATTGAGGCTGTCTTCCGCGAAGGGATTGAGTCCAGAAGGCCACTGGTCTGCTCTTTCTGTCCTTTCTCCCCTGTCTGCAACTATACTGGTGCGTTGAATAATTGGCGAGCGGGAGCGAGCCAACCTAGTGGTACGAACGGCGCGATTTTTCTATATAATTGGCGAGCGGAAGCGAGCTAACCTAGTGGTCCGGATTTCAACATTTTCATAATGCTGCCTGAATCGAGCGGAATCAGGGGAAACGCTACACCTACGAAGCTATCGAGTATTGGTGCACAGTCCAGCGGGAGATTTTTCTACATTGCCACTTGTTCCCTATTCCTGCAAGACCAATCAGATTGCCGGATTATGCCTGATTCGCGCTGTCGTCTGACTGTTTTTGACTCGACTCGAATTGTCTACTGCGCTCGGGTCGTTTCGGCCTACTTGGTCCTGTGCAATGTATCTCACTGTTTTGTGCACACACAAGAGTGACTCATACCAATTGTAAGCGCGCATTCGCCTACTAGTATATATATATATATCTACGACCGTTGTACGTCGTGTAAGTGCGCATGCGCGTCTTTGTACGCGCTTCTTTTTATCCGAAACTATATCCAAATTTTTACACATTTTCAGACACCGTGCCTCGCGATATGCGCCGATCGATCTATATAGCCAGCTAGAGAACTCTCCTCCATTCGACGGCATGCGCTGCAACCTTCGGTGACTGACCGAGGCTGTACCTCTTCCCAATCTTCATGGTTCCAAGCTGCAACTTGCAAATACGCTAGGATTGCTCGTGCACGTACTGCTGCATGCCAGCTGCCTGGCGAACCACGACTGACGAGTTGAAAGCGTAAGGTAAGTACCGTTCTGCTCACCTGCTCATCGTTCTGCCAATGTACAATACGTTATGTAACGGCGACAGGTAGCTCTGTCTTGCTTCACGAAAGGAAAGCTGTGCGCTGACGGCACGTTATGCAACCCGAACATCACGGGCAAATCCCAAGTTGGGTCGCTCCCGCTCGCCAACAATGTTCAACATTTGCACTAGTAATTGGCGAGCGGGAGCGAGCCAACCTTAGTCGTCCGTTCGAGCGGAATTATACGACCGACCGTCGTACGTCGTGTAAGTGCGCATGTGCGGTTTTGTACGCGCTTCTTTTTATCCGAAATGTCCAAATTTCTTTACAAATTTTCACACACGGTGCCTCGCGATATGCTCTAGCCAGCGAGAGAACTCTCCTCCATTCGACGGCATGCGCTGCAACCTTCGGTGACTGACCGAGGCTGTACCTCTTCTCAATCTTCATGGTTCCAAGCTGCAAATATGCTAGGATTGCTCGTGCACATTTCGTGTCATCATATTCTTCATCTTTTTCTTCTTCTTCTTCTTTAAACCCGCTATCTCCTTACCAGTACCAGTTCAAGCACAGATTTTTTCACTGAAGGTCTCCAATTTCGCCGGAGGTGTGCACGGACATCAAGCGATCGTTTCTTTCTTGCCGCTAGTCACTACGGTAGATCATGGAGCTCTTCCATGGTCGACAGAACAACGCCATTTGCTGCATCAGTGATCCGCGCGCATGCTCCAAGCAGGGGCGTTGTCCAATGTGCTTGTGAGCGTATTACCAGGGGAGTTGGACCTGCAGAGGAACTCTCAGCCTCCAGTATATACCTTCTGTAAGTAAGTGTGCACATTTCTAACTGGCTAGCTTGCTGTTGATTTGCACGAAGAGCAACTTGCCAGAGTCTGCGCGGTGTTACGCGAGCCTTGCAGGGCGCTCAGTCAAATGGGCCTTCATTGGTTGTCCCCCCCCCAGGTTGTAGCCTGATTACCAAAGCCTGCCAATGAAACCACAACCATGTGCAATAATCTAATTATATCCTTGTTGAAGACAGTACATGAGGTGAATGCAGTATCTAGCAGCCCCATTAGCTACTACTTTCAACAGTTACAATTTTTCTATGGTAGCCTATCTACAACATAGCCATGAACATCAGAGTGACTGTAACAATAAATGCAGTGTTGCCATAAGCTGTTTAAAATAGTGGAAACAAGTGGAAAAATCCTTTCTTCAAAATGAAAGGGGGATATAGGGATGGCTTGAAGCACCAAAAAGGAAGAAACAAGGGGTCATTACACAGCAAAGTTGCACAAAGCTACATGACACCATCCCTATATCTTTGTTTTATTGTTTATAAGAAAAGTTTAATATCAAACAGCATCAAACAAAGATATAGGGATGGTGTCATGTAGCTTTGTGCAACTTTGCTGTGTAATGACCCCTTGTTTCTTCCTTTTTGGTGCTTCAAGCCATCCCTATATCCCCCTTTCATTTTGAAGAAATGATTTTTCCATTTGTAAAACGTCTGGCGAGAGCATTGAAACATCTGAAACACCTGAGCTATTGCTCTAACCGCTAATGCAACTACCCTGTGTTACGGTGAGACTCGTGTTACTGCCTCCGTCGATGACGCACGGCCCAGCATGCAGCGATGCTACAACTCGCTAGTTTACCGCCGAGGGTTTGCACTTTAGTGCTTTTCATTTATTGAAGGATTTCACTGTTGACCAAAACGAGGTTTTTTTCTTTTGAGCAAATGTAGTTGCTAGTTTACGTCTTAAGATTTTATCCTGACCTCTTCGTAAGCGATGCACTTCAGATTTAAAACGGGATCTGGCATGTTTCTTGATCTGAGAAAGAACCCCAGAGGAGGGGCACTCAGCTTCTGACCATACCCTATACCAAAAATTACAGGCCCTTTTGAGCAACTGAGCCGTTTTAGACCACCCAGCAAGTTTCTGATGAATTGAAACTGATCGTGATGGAACGCAATTGCGAGCAGACACCAGACGAATATTAACCAAATCCTGAGCATAGGAATCCAGAAAGGCAAAATGACTTGAACAGGACGGTGAGGCACAGTCACGAAAAAAAAACGGTGAAGCGGTAATGTTTTTTTAGAAACCATAGCATAGAATCTCTCGATATCAATTGTAGTAGCCTTAGACCAAATCAAGTGTGTGATTAACAGTACGAGGAGTGGAAGAGGACGAACCTGCATCAGAGCAATCCACAGCGAGAGAGAAGCATAAAGGAAGATGGTCACACAAAAGTTGTCAAGATCTTAGAGAGGCGACATCAGTGACTAATGA